AATTCTAATAAATACGACCACAGAACAGGAAATTTTCAAACCAAAGATGGTCGAGTGGTTAAAGTCACTGCCTTTGGTTCGTTGGTCCTCGTGTTCGAGTCCCGTTTTCTCCTCATCTGTACTTATGCATCAATCTGCTGCCGGCACTGAGTCTCGAACCCGAGTCGGCTGAACCGGAGGCAAACTTTTAGACCACTTGACCATACAGATTGAGTTTTTCGGCGACTTCAGAGTCCTTCTTCAAGAACTAGCTAAGTATCACACCATAAACGTCACGATCTATGTGACTTCTTCACTCCAATCTGGTTAAGTGGTCTACGACGACGAGTTTGGTATTGACGGTCGTGGTTCGGTTCCAGGTCGTTGTCTTATATTAATGGCACTGACTTGTACCATTCTTTTCGATCATGAAGTCCGAAGTCAACCCCATTTCTCACTGTGTGTAGTTACTCCAGTCGTCCACAGGAGGGCAGTATTTTACCCAGCACCTCGTGCTTCTCCCTTTTCCTTGACACTTTGATCGGACTGGAGTTCCCCATGCACACTTTCGTTTTTTGTTTGTGTGTGTGTGAGAGGCTCACTTGAACAAAACGAACACACCAGTATCGTTGGTTATTTCAGTTTTATTTTGGAGGAACACAAGATGAAATTTCACATCTGGAAATCCAAGTCACCGGGTGGCAGAATATCATACATACACAAACGAAGACATTCGATTGTAACTCTTGTAAATAAATCAGTAACTTCAGAAAAAGTATTTTGTTTTGTTTTCACAAATAAATTCATCACCACAGCTTTTATTGCAACCCTTTAGAAAACAAACAAACACACAAATGTTACCAGATGTCCATCAGGGAAGGTCCAATGTGACCTAGTAGCGATGTACTCATCAATGTTTTGTGAAATATGACAAAGGCAAATGATTCGTAAGGTGTCCTTAGAGTACCAATTTGGGTACGTGGGCTCCTACATCTATAAATTTATCGATGTATAGATATCGATAGATCTATCTGGAGTGATATATCTAGATCTAAAAAATACGTTCTGAATGAGAAAATAATATTTGCATTGTCTTATTTGATTCAGCAGGTGCACGTGATGTTTCGATGGACAAATCCATGAATATAAACAGAAATATGCTTCCAGAGGAGCATGCAGAGAAAACGTGTTGGAAGTCGAGCATGTGTTACCTGTGCGCAAAATGTCCACAGCCGACGTGGAGACATTATTTTTCTGCAAACGCCTCCGCTCGTGTAAACAATCAAAAAGGAGCTGACCGAGCTCGAAAGCAACGGAACGAACTTCGCTCGTGTGTTGAAGGCACACAAAACAACGTCAACACAAACGCACCGGTCAACTCAAACAGTTCCTGGTTTTCTTTCTAGGTCGGGCTTTCACTTCCGGGTCAATAGTGACGTCATGCAATTAAAAAAAATATCTAACACGAGATATAAACACGAGTAAATTCCTTGTGTGTTTTCTACACTTGGGGAAATAAATCTAATACTGGTAGGAGTCTTGCTCGTCTCCTTTTTCGTTCGTTCGGTCAGTCGTTAACTTTGCTTTTGTGATTATCTTCGTTTCATCATGGCTGCGCGGGGCTCACAAAATCGTGTCGGCGGAAGCCTTCCACGTTAGAATTGGCTGGTGCGAATAATCACCACTAGAGGGCGTACGAACACAAACAGGGAAACAACTCAATGGGGAATATAAAGACACTGTTTCAATGTGTGTTCATGTCAATTCAAAGAAAGAATTCCTGAACGACTTTCATTCACATGACTGTGAAATTTTTAAATAAAACAACAAACGTTCATAGACGTTCAGACTGTTGAGAACAAACGCACGCACACAAGCGGTGTTTTAACTTGGCCGTTTTAACCAGGCGAAGCACTTTGACTCATTTCAAGAGAGTTCAACTATGGACATTTATGAAGGAATCATTTGTGTCCTTCGGAGACTTGGACCGTGCTGACCTCTGGGCTGACAGCGTTCAGAACCAGTCGGTCTGCATCTCTCCGGATATCGAGAAAGGTCATCTGGCCAGAACGCCTGGTGCTGAAAGTCGGGAATCGTGTGAATAGCAGTGGACTGAAGCGGCCTATCACAAATATTAATCAGCCAGTGTTTGGATCAGAACGGCCCGAGTGCCCGTTCGTGCCGTAAGATGTGCATCGACTCCCAGCGACGCCAGATCAACACGCCGGGCCGGTCCCTGGACTCCAGTGACAGGAACAGTAAATCCCTCAAGAGTGACTTCGGCCGCTGCGACATCGACCTCCGAACGTGGGCGCTTCCCAGCGAAGGCCAGGCGGCCGACTATTTTTATTTTTGCGATATTACAACTTGAAGATTTAAAAAAAAAAAAGTGTATGCGTGAAAGAATGTTTCTCACTTCTTTTGTTTTCATGACAGGACGGTGGTCAAAGATGCAACGGACGTGTGTACGAGTACACACTGATAAATGCTTGAAGTTTTGTGATGACGTCACCGAGGTGGTCGTATGCGCGTACACCAAATATCTAAAGGTCTTTCAGTCATTTAAAATATTTCATTCGCATGTATTTCAAATGAACGTAATCCACATTAAGGTAATTAAAATAATCCGGCAACGTGACCTGTTTTTACATTTTGACAAGAGGGAAGACGAAGTTCTTAATACAAAATTTCAATTTTAATTTTAGGTTATCTCAAAATCTTTAGTTTTCAAATGCATACACTTTTTTAGAAAAGAAAAAAAATATTTTTTTCAGCGTAATCTTTTAAGACCACATCCATGTCATTTAAAAAGACACATCCAGAAAGGTGAAAAATGACATCGCCCACGGATCAAGTTGCATTTTATTTTCTGTTTATTTCAAATAACCCGGTCCACATCGGCGTCATCAGTTCAAACCCAAACACGTCCAGGAGCGTTCGGTGACGTTGCGGTTGGCCAGCTCATTGCTCTTCTCCAAGATCATTCGATGTGTCACACAGGTCACGACTTACTTTTGAGTGAGCAATCCCGTCTCGCTGGTGGAAGTTTTCAGGATCCAAACCTCCATGCCGCAACACTCGCACGCCACCAATAATTTTGTTGGGAGTATTATTTGCTGAAACGTTATTTTCAAGCATCCCCAATGAAACCCCAAACTGCCCCAATAACGAGACGGACACGACCATCGCTTTGGTATTAACGTGGTCAAGCAGACACTTTTAATTTGTTTGAACAATGAATCATAAAACCTGATCGCTGTCAAGTGATTTTTTTTTTTTTAAGTACACCAAAGAGGCCCGGAGCTCTGCTTGAACCCAGCACCCGCCCTCTTTTTTTATTTTTTTCCTCTATCCTGCAGCTTGGAGATCAAATAAAATTAAACATTAGAAAAAAACAAAATTAAAAGAAACAAAAAAGGAAAACAAAACAGCGTCACTCCTTCCAGATGCCACTTATATCCGGCCCGGACTTAGTGGAGAAAGAGAGAGAGAGAGAGAGAGAGAGAAACAAGACGACCACCGTATTTAAGATTGCTTGGAAAATGAGCTGTTAATGTAGATTAGCAATTGTGAGATTAGGTAGAGCACGTTTGGTTGAAAGAAAAAAAAAAAAAAAGAAAAGAGGGAGGAGGAGGTTAACATCAATACAATCAGAAGGTCTGAGCTCATTAGAGGTCGCTGACACATGCACTAAATAAAATTAAAAATAATTCAATTGAAGCAAAACTACACCAAAATGACTCCTAGATTGATTTTATCTCTTAAAATAATTTGAATTTAAATAAAAAAAAACAAAAAACAAACAAAAAAACAGGGACTAATTGACGTTATTGCACATGAGCTAAAAGACAGTAATACTATTACAGCTCTGTTCACTGACCCCCCCCCCCATCCGACGTGACACATTCAGACACCTGGTGAAGAAGGTTCTTTTAACGGCAACCAAAACAACCCCTCCCCCCCGCGGCAAAAAATAAAAACCTTTGGGTGAGGGGGGGGGAAACAAATCCAGGAAGAGAGAGGAACCAAAATGCGATCGAGTGGAAAGATACAGAAGCCTGCAAGAGCCGAAGGTGGAACACTGATACTGTGCTAGATCAGACAGGAAATGGCTGAACAAGTGCTTTGTCAAAAACAAAAAACAGAAAAAAAGAAAGAAAGTTATTGTTATTGAGACGCATTAAAAAAAAAAAAAGTAGCCTGCGCTATCCCAACACGGTGCAGCAATGGAAAAGCCAAAACTGTCAGGTTCAACCAGAAAGTGGGAAATCGTTTCGGACATAAAAAAAAAAAAAACACGATCATGACGATGATGATGTTACCCCCCTCAAAGATTGCTGCTACATTAAAACCGCACGTATTCATGTGCAACAAGAGGGAGAAAAAAAAGGCTTTGAAGATCTACACGCTGTTCTGTTTTTGTCCTCCTTTTTCTGTTCATATATATACATATATATATATACATACATATATATATATACATATATATATATATATATATATGTATACATATATATATTGTACATATTCCGCCACCTTGTTACTGGTGTCGATTGGCAGTGTCCAGGGTCCAATAACATGGCAGAGTGATTCAGTAAAAACACTGTGGAGTCGCACTGAGGTTTATTTTGAAAGGAGTCACTCTGCGAGGAGGCTTACAGCTGGCTGTCGGGATCCCCCTGGCCACTCCCCCCGCCTTGCGCTCACACCGGCCCGTTGACGGCCACTTCTTGGGGCGCTTGCGTCTCCTCTCTGGGGGGGTGCAGGCACAGGGACGCGGGTTTAGAACCGGACACGCATATTCCTGGCATACGAGTGCCCCAGGAAGTGGATTCGCGTTCAATTATTCAACACAAACAAAGCCACCTTTGACGTGAGGCTAATCAATTATGTTGGCTAACTAAGCTAGGCTAACTAGCTTTCTTTTTGCATCACATTTTTCGGAAAAAAAAAAAACGTACTTCCTGTCAGTCTGTGGGGTTACGGGCGATTCCTCGGGAGGCGGTTGCTGCTCTGAGGCTTCCGGAGGATCTGACAGAGAGAGTTTCTCCAGGGACACGGGACACTCCTCGCTGCACACACACACAACCAGGTTCACCGTTAGTTGCTTCGTCACACTTCCGAATCAGTGAACTTGCCTTGGAACATACTGGTAGAAACATCAGTACTGGTGGAAAAAAAATAATATAAATCCGCCGTCGAAATGCAAACTTGTATTTAAGCTCGAGTTGCAGCGCCGTGCCCTGTAATCTGCCGCCGCAATTCAGCCTATATTTACCTCACGTGGTACTTTTCCGCTTCAATTATAAGTTGGCGAGAGAGAAATTCATGCAGAAGGGGATTTTGAACCTTGTGAGGTCGGCTGTCTTGCTGCCTGCTGCTGCTGCTGCTTTCGAGACGATAGCGGAGGGGACTTCCTCGCCGTCGGAGCCTCCGGGCGAGCCGCCGTCCGAGGCGGTGGGAGGAGCCAGCGTCATGTCCCCCGAAGGCCCCACGCAGGGAGCGGCGACGGCGTCTGCTCCTGCGCGCGAAAGGAAGTGAGTTGGGCGTCATGAAGCGGGACAATTTGGTGAACTCACCGCCCTTCTCGTGGTTTTGTTTGGCTTGTTTGTCCGCGTCGCTGCCGCCGACATCCACGGGGGAGCTGCACCGGGGCTCCGTCTCTGTGCTGCAGGGGGGTGGGGGGGGGAGGCAACGACATTTCAGGATCTTTATGGCCCCGACCCGAAATGTCCGAGTCAAGCAAAAGCTTACCTGGAGAACGGCTGGAACGCCGTGAAATTGGCCCAGCCCGTTTCCTGGTTCTCGTTGCCGCCGCCGCCGGCGGGAAGCGCGTCCCACCCTGATGGAGTCTGGGATGCCGCCATCCTGTCGGAGTCCCTGAAATTTGCCGTCCAGCCTGGACCTGGAGACGGGGGGGGCGTCGCTTGAAATATAACCCGGTGTACACCTTGAACGGGACAAATTCAAGACGCCGCCTCACCCGCGTCCGACGTGTTCTGCTCAAAGTCTTCCTCCTCGTCGGATTCCGAGCCGCAGTCTTGCTCCTGTCCGCCGTTTTCCAAGCTGCTCCGGGAGCTTCCTTCTGATGTTTGGGACACACCGAACCTGGTGAAAGCGGCACCAGGGTGAGATTAAAAATGGCCGTTGTGGGATGGCGGTATTGGTTTTTTTCGCAGGCGTTAAGGGAGGAGGAAAAAAAAACAAAATGTTTACCTTGTTCTGGATTTCGCTTGTGTTGCATAGTTGATCTCCTTTTCCTCCCAAATGTCCTCTTCCTCATCGGCGTCGTCAAACTGATGTATCCGCTCTTTGCAGCAGGCCTCGAAAGCGGCTGCGTTGGCCTGGGGTCACAAGGTCACGCCGGGCGGGATCAACCGCCGAGCCATTTTCCGAGCCGACGAAAGACCACTTGCCGAAAGGATACTTACACTGTTATCGTCCGAATCTAAATTGAAGTTTATTTCGGCAATTCTGTCAAAGGTGGCGCTGGGAGGGGGCGAGAGGAAAAAAAAAAAAAAAAATGTTACGAGGAGTCGACAAAATATCCGCGCGGGTTGAGCGTTCCCGACTCACTTGATATTGTCGTCGTGTTCGCTGAACTCCTCGTCGTTGAAGCCGAACTGATCCACAAAGTTGGCGGTCATCTGCTGGATCTGATAGTCAGAGAAAGCCTGGGAAGGTCAGAGGGAGACTTTTTTTTTTTTAGGGCGACGTTCCCCCCCTCCTGCGTTGATTTGCTCCCGCGTTTCGTTCTTTTTTTTTTTTTGCCAAAGAGTGTGGGCCCGCTTTACCTGTTGGAGGGACAGGTCGTTGGGGAAGGGGCTCTCCATGTCGTCGTCCTCGCTGGACGAGTGCATGTTGTGCGTGCTGACCTGCACAGGCAAAGAGGTTTTATGCGGCAAAAAAAAAAAATCAACATAATAGTTAATTTCGTTTTTAAATTTGACTTGGCAAAAAAAAAAAAAAGAAAAAAAAAGAAAGAAAACGGGACCGTGTGATGACTTCTTACCAGCTCTACCGTGTTCCTTCTGTTCGTCTCTCGCAGCGTCTCGTCCACAAAGCTCTCCCAGCGACCTCTGCAGTCCTCCGGCAGCTCTGCATGGTAAGAAACTTTCGTTCGCTAATGACTTAGGCGCGAGTGTGAAAAATGTTCCGCTTCAAAAAAAAAAAGTGGGGGGCGGCTGGGGGTCAGCGACATACCTTTGATGAGGTCAGCGATCTGGGCCTGGACCGGCCCCTTCTCCAGGTTCTGGACCACCATGTTGGAGATTCTGGTCAGGTGGCCCATGTTACCTCTCCTGGTGCCACCCTCAGCTCTGTGGACGTCACGGACGCGTTATTATTACAACCGCAGATTCTGTAATTGACCGGCTGAACAATACACAGACACAAAAAAAGAAAATAATAAAAAAAAAAAAACACTCACTGTATTTTATCGTTCTCCTCCCAGGCATCAAGGATCTTTTGTACCAATCGACACTTCTGGAAAAGCTGTACATTTCGCACAGAAGAAAGAAAAAAAATAAATAAAAAAAAGGGATGAAGGTGAACTATAACATCGCGTTTGTAAACAATGTCAAAAACTTAACACGTGGAAAACGTTTGGTTGGGTTGTCGTGGCTAGCTTGCGCAAGCTAACGTCAGCGCGACCAAAAAAAGAGCGGCGCCATTTAGCCGCACTTACATGTGCCACAAGGGTGTTGTGGAGGGAGGTCTGTGGGTCACTGGTCCCGCCCGACTCCACCGCCTCCACGTGAGTTTCGGCGGCCAGTGCCGCCGCCTGCTGCTGCTGCCCGTTTTGGTTCTGGAGGCCCGGCGGGTTGGCCCGCTCCTCCGAGGAAGGGTGGTTCAGGATGGCCGCTACGCAGAGCTCCACTTGGAAGTGCAAAAAGTTATTCCACGAGTATTTGAAGAACAGATCCTGCGCGGCGGCGGGGGACAAAAGACAACGACTTAGTGGCACGTCGAGCCGGCGGATCTGAAACGGCGGTCGGGCCTACCAGTAGTAGGTCCATGGTGCCGAGGTCGCACAGCTCCTGACAGATACTGGGGGAAGTGGTCTGCAGGAGGGCAGCCACCAGTCGGGCCACGTGAAGGCGGGCGTTCCCCAGCGGCTGATCTAGAACGCCAACGGTGGTCAGTATTGCACCTTTCTGCAGAGGGAAGAGGAAAATATGGAGACGAGTCCAGTTCTTGAGTTCCGCACTTTCAGTCGTACCACGCGGCGCCCAAACGTACTGTTGTTCGTTTCCCTTTTTTGGTGGAATTTCACCTCTCGTTTGTTCAAACTGACACCTTGCCGCTGTTTATGTGAGCGTTCCAAAGCAATCGTTTGTCTTTGGCGCCGCCCTGTGGCAGCATTTTCACCATTGTGGTGATTTAATGCCGTTTTTGTCACACCCGAGTTGATGTGAGTTTCGGTATTTCATTTCGACAAGTCGTGTTTTCCTGCCATCTTGTGGCACCAATAGGTCACTGCAAATCTTATCTCGGCTTGCTCGCAGATTTTTGGTATGATCTTTCCAAAAGCATCTTTCAAACAAATTTCAATGTGTTGAAAATGGAAGACAGGTGCCTTAAAAAAAATAAATTACAAAGTGTGTTCACGCTGTGTCATCGATTTTCATTCATACGGGGGGCTCAGTGTCCATGAAAAACGTCGTCAAGTGTGTGTTTGTTACCTTTGGGGGATCCAGAAGAAGCTGCTGGAAATCTTTCAAATGGGGCTCAATGGCATTTAAAATACTGCTGTTGACAGTGTAAGACCTTTCATAACCCTGAGAATACAGATCCATGAGCCCTTCCAACCTGGGGGGAGAAGACGAGACGACGGATGATCAGCCTTGTACATTTCACCGCGTTCATATGAGCGATTTGAACAAAAAGTGTGACAAGTGTGCTGTAATTTTTTTTGGGGTGTATTTTGAGGCCTTGTACTCAAGACACTCGGGGACGGTTATTTTCCTATCCCGCCGCTGGATGTCAATGAAAATCTATTTCCCAAACTACTTAATTCCTTTTACATGAAAAAAAAGTTGAAGTGTGAAATCGGGGTGCGTTGGGAATCGGAAATCAAACCTGACATTGAAAGACAAAGAAGCCACCGAACGCACGATGAAAAAGAGCGCCGACTCGCGGCGCCGACACGCTCACGCGGGACGAGCGAGTGGCGTTAACTTCGTTCGAATAACCGACGAGTCGACTCGGCGCAATTCCGACAGTAAGACGATATTGCGCATCCTCACCCGAATAAAAGCCGCCGGCATTAACACTGAATGAAGGTTCGTGTAACGATCAACGATCGCGCTTTTGGGCTAGCATGGAACGAAAATGAAATCAAATCGCCTAAATTCAGCCGTATGGATCCCAACCGATATGAAATAATCACACATCGCCCTGCCCGACGTGCACATCGCTCGCACTCACCCAGACCTCCTGGTCTCTAGTAAGGTAAGTAGCACTTGAGTTCCGTTCACGATGGAAGCCTCGTTCCTCTCCCCCTCAAACATGTTCTTGAGGAGTCCTGCTACAGTTTCTTGTCTGGGGGGGAAAAACAAAAAAATGTCATTTCGTGGACTGACCAAACGATACGCGGGTCCTTTTTCAATCGAGAGTGTGAGCGACTTACGACTCGAGCACAGCCAATAGTGGGTCGGCCTCCGTGTTCTCCTGCATCTGATTGGCCTGGTCTCGGCTAAGGCGAATTATGTCACAAAGCGTTTGCGACGCGTTTGATTGTCTCTGACAAATGTCGGGAGGGGGGAAAAGGGAAGCCAGGCGTTCAAGAAAACGGATGCGAGGAACCATTTCCAAACGGCTTGAGGGACTTACCTCCTCATCTTTCCCGGTATGGATGAGCTCGATGAGTCTTTGAACGAGCTTCTCTTCATTCAGCCACTTCGGGGGGAGGGAGGGACATGAAAATGGGTTCGTTATTTCACGGTAATCAAAGCTGATGGTCATAATCTGTAGGAAATCTTTTTTTTTTTTTTTTTAAACGGCATATTCAGAATTTAGAATTGGGAGATGTTTACATGGAGAACCTCCTGCCTCAAGAGGGCAGGCTCCACGCAGCTGATGAGGCGAAGCAGCAAGTCCATCATGGCGGACGCGTCGATGTGTTTCAGCACCAGACCAATGAAGCCTTCCTTTTTCTTGAGAAAGGTGATCACCTGGCGGGGCGGGTAGATTTGACCGACACATTTGTGAGCATCCGCGCCGCTGGCGCGCCCGCAAACGCGCCCGCAAACGCGGTTCCTCTACCTCTTCGGTTTTCCGGGCGATGAGATTGCCGATGGTTTTGCTGAAGAAGCTGGCGAGCAGCGGGTTGAGGGGCGGGTCCTGCTCCAGGAAGTGGTACAGCATCTCCAGGAGAGATTCTTCTCCGCCCAGCTTATCGTTGATGATGGACACGTCGGAGGTCAGGAGCTCGCAGGCGATGTTGGGAAGCCTAGGAGGAAGAAGAGAGAACATTTCTGGAGGGGGCGACGCTTGTTGTTATTTCCCATCTTTTGTTTTTGCGCCGCGGCTTTTCGCCGGCCGGCGAGGAGCTCGCGTTCGTTCGCGACTCACTTAAAGCGGCTCCTCTCTTCGAGGTCTGCCGGCGGCTCGGTGGTGATGAGGCCCACCAGCTCCTGCATGCAGTGGTCCTGGGAAAGGAAGAGCAGCAGGCGGCGGTTCTGGGCCTTGCACTCCTGCAGCACGTCGTCCTCCTCCATCAGCTCGCGCAGCGTCACGTCCTCCCGGTCCAGCAGCTGGTCGATGTGGGAGGTGGTGTGCAGGTCGAACTTCCAAAACATGGTGGCTGCCGAGGTGGGTGACACAGCCCTGGAGAAAAAAAAAAAAAAAATTTGAGCGTCCTCTTAACTTTCCTCACCCATCTGTGGGGGAAACCATTTTGTATCGGCGACGCGCGGCCATTTACGAAAGGGGCTCCGGAGGTACATACCAGTGAATGAAATGTGGATATCTCTAATCAGACCTCCCCCGCGGGCGGGCAGGCAGGCATTTGTGTTCGTGCAGACGACAGAAAGCGTGGCGAGGCCTGGCATTTATCAGCATGGGTCTCCTTTTAAAATGCTGGCCTCTTGAGGAGACGGGACGCTGGGAGGCTCACCATAACCTGCACGCGGGGGTCAAAACAAAACAGTGGACATGGGCGAAATGACAGCTGGACCAGTGGGACTTGCTTGCTGTTCTTTTTCACAAGGCGTTTCAAACAACGAGAAGCGTTTTTGACCCGTGAGAACTTTCGGTGACGCTTCCAGTCTCTCCGTTGGAATCTGCCGATGGCAGCGAGATGAAACTCAGTGGCCACTTGTCTCTGAAAACACCCGACTTATTGAAGAAAAAAAAAATCAATGGTCAAGGATGACGGGGACTGTGGAAACATTCATTTTAATGTCTCCATTTTTGGATGGAAAAAACACCAGTTGAATTTTAACGTCGTTTTAACAAGTTGGGTGCAAACAGTGAACAAGCGCATTTAAAAGTTTAGAGGTTACTTTTTTGCTTGTTCATGGAGAGGGAGAAAAAAAACTGAAAACGTGAACAGTGACTGCACCTTTTATTTTTATTTTTTTGTTTGTTTTTTGAAACCACCACCTGTGCAAGGGCGCCATGTTTTTATTCCGCAAGTTAGCTATGTCAGTCCTGAAAAAAGGCGGATGACGGCAAAGCGGGCAATTTCCTGCCTTCGCAGGTACTATCCCGAGCCGTGACCGAGGCGGAACGCCGCTGATGCGACAGGCAAAGCCAGAAAAGCAAGACACAAAAGCGTGACACTCACTTTTCGAGGCACGCCTGAAGACAAAAGCCCGAGGATGACTTTGTGCCACATGATGTCATCGCGGATGTCATTTCGTTTAATTACCTTTGCTGGGTTCCACGTAAAAAAAAAGGCAAAGATGGATTCCGTTACGGGTTCATGTGGAAACGGTTTTCAAAGACAAATGAGAAAGAATCATCGCTCTGGGAACGGCACGCGACTCGACCCGTCGATCGCCAAAGGTGAAACTGATGGAGGTTTTTTTTTTCTCTCCAATGCTTTCCTGCCTCTTATTTTCCCAGCAAACGGCAGCCGGGAGCGGGCGTCCATCTGGCATACATTTACAGAGTACACAAGCGCAATAATAACCTCGCGAGTGCTCCCCGACGGTGGCGAGCCGGGGGACGGCGGACGCTTGAATTTGAACATCCAAAATAGAACCCGCGGGGAGGCGACCGCAACAACAACAATCGGCAAAGCGCGCGGGACGGTTGAGGAAAAGAGGAACAATAGTAAAGATGCGTGTCGTTGCGGACAAAAAAAAAAAAAAAAACACAGGGGTAGGAAGAGATGAAAAGAATCTAAGGAAATGCAAATGGACTAAGTTTTTTTTTCCCCTGGAAGAATGTCAACACGACAGAAGTAAAGCCGCAAAAGTCGCAACGTTGTGCTTAGCGAGTATGAGAATTTGAATGAGCGAATATCCAGAATTGTCGACCTAAGCTCGTTGTCAAAATTCCCAGCCCAACCTAAACAGAAAAGTGCGAGAACCAGCGATGCTCTGAAGATTTGCATCATCAGCAGTCCTCATCTCAACACACCGATACGTTTACAGTCCTTATCACGGCACTTTTTATTGTGGGTAAAATTATGACCTCACTCCTGTAAATTGCCACTTTTTTTCTCTTTAAATATCCATTTTTTTTCTGATCAGTGTGGCCCTACTGGGCCTTTGTAAAACATAACCTGGAAACGGTTGTGCAAGTGTGCATTGACGGAATCAAAAGAGCAAAAATCTCAAATTTCAAATCGACTTGAATGTAGTCTCAGTTCGCCGCTCGATATTGCAGAGCATTATTTCCAGTCAGATGTGTTAACCTGAAAGTCTCGTTATTGTAATGTTAGAACTTAATTCTGCGCCCCCCCCCCAAAAAAAAAAGAGACAGACAATAAATAAAGTGTGGCAGAAAGAAATAGATAGCTGCATTTTAAGTTTAGCCATAAATGTCACTGACAACCGAATGGCGGGTCAGATTTCTGCTTGCTTGAGCCCGAATGGATGCGTTCCAAGATGTCAACTGTGATTGTTTTCCTGTATGTGCGTTTTATTTACTCGAGTTCGCGGACACAGTCACGAACACCGCATAGACGCAAATTGTACTTTTTCAATTTCAATTTTTGCTTACTTTGTCGCAACTGAGGACCCTTGCGATCCAATTTTCATGATTTAACTTGTTTTGAATGTACTTTGACCTTTATACTGTCGTATTGTTCCCGTGATAGTTACTGCCCAAGACATTTCTTACTGTCACAATATTATTAATAAAACTGAAAATGTGCCGTCTTAAAAACATAGTTACTGCCCAAGACATTTCTTACTGTCACAATAATAATAAATAAAAATAAATAATAAAACTGAGAACTTAAAAACGGGTTCCTTTGCATCCGTGTCAATCATGGTCATCCACAAAGTTAAATCAAGTCACCTGTACTACTCCCGTGTGTTGAATTCGTTGTGTCATTTCCCTTTTTTTTTCTTGAAAACGCTGAAAAAAATTACTTTTTTGAAATGATGCTATTTGGGTATTGATATAGTATACTTTATTTTAAAAACGTGGCCCCAAACACTTCATTAATTCTGGTAATGTGATAAATGAAAGTATTACAACCTCTCATAGATGCATATTTGTCGGGAATATTGTTGGAAAAGGCTGGCAATTAATGTCCAAAAAGTAAAGCTTGGCCTGAAAGGCTACTGACAACCGAGGGGGGGTCGGATTTCTGTTTACTTGAATCCTAACGGGAGCAGAAGGAACATTGCGAGAGTTTCTAGATTTAAACAGTATTTTACTGGAAACGCAACTTCATATTTCCACCGATAAACGACGTGAAATTAGACCGAGTTACTCGACTTCACGAGCGTTTATCGCGAACGGCACATGGCTCGGCAGCCGCTGGCCTCGACAGACCCCGGGCGGGCTCGTTTT